GGAAAAACTTAGGACAACGTCAAATCATTTAATTTCGACTGATGAACAATTATGCAATAACATAAAGCTAATAATAGTTGATGACAGGTTATTAATTAAGTAGCTGCTAAGCCTCCTTTTTTTATAACACTTCATCACAGAGGCAAGCAATATCAACAAAACGCAGCATGAGCATGCACTTGCTGATGGCTGAGCATTTACTGGGTTCTTAACCTGTAACCAACCATAGTTTAGTCAGTTATTATTCTTACAACTTAATCAAATTGAACACTCTTTTGAGATGGATCCTTATATTATAATAAAAAAATAAGGGTGAGAGATTGGCAGCGGCTTTGAATCAATGTACACTTTACCATATCAACAATTAGAAGAAATGGGGTTGTATAAGATGATTTTCCCCGAAACTTCATACCAAGCACTCTTGTCAGTCGTGTGGCTTGTAGTTCGGATAGCGAGAAATGATGGGAAACAACGTCGGTGTAGATTACAGCAGCCTGGGAGTTTATGATGGACGATATTGTGCTGTGATTGAAATGTTCCATTTGTCAGCACTCAATAATGCACTGGAGACGTAAAACACCAAGACAAAGATACATAGGAAAATAGCCAAAACACGTAAGTCAGTTGAGAAACAAGGTGTGGAAGTTTACGTGCCATGGCGACAAACTGCTTTTCACCATTTATGATCCTGCGAATGTCATAAATAGTCAAGTCCCTTTTAGTACCTATGTGTAGATATACGCGAGTAGCGACATTTCAGCGAGATTCAAGTTTGACAAATATAGGTCCCAATAGTCAATAACAAAGCGAATGTCGAATCAAGAACGAATATCAAATCATTAACTTGCAATGCACACAAACTAGAAAAGAGGAAAGCCATCTGGAACTCTTTTCCCGACGATATTCTAGTCATTACTGACCTAATAAGGTTTCGCCAGGAAGTCTCTCTACACAGCCATCAACCATTCCCGACTAAACCATTTCAGTACTTTGTGTTTTTTACTATTGTTATTTTGACTCTCTCCTTTTCCTACAAAACTTGAAAGTATAAAACAGAGAGGACGAGGACCGGAACAGGACATCTTTTGAAAGATGTCCTGTTCCCGTCCTCGTCCTCTCTGTTTTATACTTTCAAGTTTTGTATCTATTAACCAACACGCTTGTTTTCAACTGTAATCCTTTTCCTATTTTTGTCGTTTTCAAGTGTCAAAGTGTGTTTTAGTTCTCGTCTACTCCCCCCTTACATAATGCCCCACCCGGGCCCTTAAGGATAAATAAATGAAATGAAAAATAAAATACAAATGAAAGCCATTTAAAACTCCCAGTAATGCCGAATTAGTGCGCAGCTCTTTAGCAGAAGGAGGGGAAGGTACAGAGGAGAGGGTATGCCCCTCCTTCCTCTCCTCCGCTCCCCTGCTCCTCTCCTGGCCCCTCAAATTTAGCGGGAAATGTACGTTACATTTCGAGCTCTATTCAGCGGAAAAAAAATCCCCGTTAAATTTTGCGGACCAATTTCCCCAGTACGTTTAGGGAAAAAATGTCCCCCTAAATTTAGCGAAACAAATTACCCGCTAAACCTAGCGGGGAAATTTTGTCGCTAACTTTATCGGGGTATTTTGTCCGCTAAATATAGTGGGGAAACTTTTTTTTTATAAATATAGCGGGGAAGTTTTGCGCTAAATTCAGCGGAAATTCTTTTCCCGCTCAATTTTAAGGGAAATTTTTCGGCTAAATTCAGTGGAAACTTTCTTACGCTAAATTTAGCTGGAAAATTTATCCGCGAAATTCAGCGGAAAAAAATACCCACTAAATTTGGCGCAGGATATTTTTCCGCTAAATTTAGGCGAGACATTTTTCTGCTAAATTTAGCGGGGAGTATATTTTCTCTGAATTTAGCGGGGAGTATTTTTCTCTGAATTTAGCGGAGAAATTTTTACGCTAAGTTCAGCGGGTAATTATTACTGCCAAATTTAACGGAGAGATTCTTTCCACTAAAGCGGGGACTAACGGGGAATATTTTTCCGCCAAATTTAGCAGCAAATATTTTTGCTAAATCTAGAGGGTTTTTGTTTCGCTAAATCTTGCGGAAAATGTTTTGTGATAAAAGTAGCGGAAAGTATTTCCTGCTCCACCCTCGTGACTCTCGTGACGTCACATGTGATGTCATTATGGGAAATGTTCCATAATGCAACGCGCGGTTACGCTGACGGCGACGTCGACGGCGACGCTGCTCAAGCCCGAAACGGCCGCTCACGAGCTGCGCTCTAAAACACGCTTACTTGAGTATTTCACCGCAAGGAGTGAAAGTAGTGTGGTTAGCCATAATGAAAACGCTGCCTGAGACACAGCTGAGGAATAGGTTCATCATAAACATCTACGCTTGGTTATTATGGATGTGGTTGAACGGCGTCCGCAGCCTGCAGCCTGAATGGACCACCGTGGGCTGATCACTGCCGGTTCGCTACGGCCTGCCACTTCAGCCGGATGGGCAGAAAAAGGGATCCAGCTTAGTTTACTGAGTTAGTTCCTGGAAGCGCAGTCCAGCAGACAGGGTCAATGTTTTTACGTTGTTCGTGACTCGCCCACTCGTTCGCCGCCGGCCGTTGTTGCCGTTATTTTGCGCCACCAGCCTCAATACCACTCAATGAAGCCGCCTTGGACACTTTCATTTTCTCTGTCAAAAAAAAAAAAAAAAAAAGCAACTCGACAGGCCGCTCCCAGCAGAGGGAGAACCCCAATTGAGTGTCCATGGATGGACGGATATTGCCTAAGCCTTTAAATCAGGGTTACGTCTTCCTACATCTATCCGTGCAACCTCACTCGAAACCGTGGGAACTGACTGTTTAGCGGACGAGGTGGGTTCAATTATCTTCCTTATTGGCATTTTGGTTATGATTTATCGTATTATTGGTGCAACAAATTTCTACCGCCCAAAGTTGGCGGTGTGTGATTCAGGATACTTGAATTCAAAATGACGACGTGGGTGTTTTAAGGGTTTTCGTCAAGAACTTCGAAGCAGATCGGTCGCAACACTTTCGTTGCAGAAATACAAAGAACAAATATTTTTTTATGTAATGGTGTGTCCGTTCGGACCTCTCACTGCAGACTTGACTTAGATCCAGGAGAAGCCTGCGAGGACTATATGCCGATATAGGGATAGCGCTCTTAAATAAACCTGATTTCGTGTTCCACTGGCACTCGATGTGCCACATAATTCGAAAACTCTAATGCTAGGAATTCTAAAACTGAAACAAATTATTTAGGCCCTCACAATTAGATTATAATGCGAAATTCGAATGTTCGTACCCCCTTAACTATAAGTTAAAATGTAAGTTTCAATTTAACTGAAAACCGTATTTTGGGGGTTTTGCGTCATAAAGCAAGGCAATATTAAACATTCGCAAGTGCTATACTGTGCACATTAACTTTGTAGAATAACGAATAAAGGTACAGAATAATATTGGTTCTACAAAACTGAGAGAGAGGGGGAGGGGGCCGGGGAGGGGGGCTCCATTCGTGTGCGTGCACATCAAAGCCGTACATCGCGCTTTCTGCTTTACACACTATATAAGAAGTCAGTAAAAGCCAATCTAATACCGTCTGTGCAGATGGGTTATATGGCCATAGTATAGTGTCCTAATCGTCCCAGTAACTGAGTAAATAACTTAGATATGTTAAATAAATATTTAGTTATTGAATGTAAATATATTGTTTCAAATGGGAAGTTTTTGAACGGCATTTAGACAACTAAGAAAGCATATATCTTAAAGTACTTGGAACACATGGAAAGCTCGGTGGTGTGCTAAAGTTGACACTCGTGCAACAGACGCAAGGCTGAAAGTCCGAAAGCCACCCGCACGGTTTTCGCACCTCTTTTCATCCGTCTCTGGTAAATTTAGCGCTCTACCCGGGTTCCCATTTGCTTAGTCTCGCTAAATGCTATTGGCTTAGTGACTTTCGATGACGCCCCTCGAGTTTCTAAACCATAACTTTATATTCAATCATAAAAAAATGTAGTTCACAATTCTTGGTTAATTATCCTACTGAGTGTGTCGACTAGCTCCATATATTATATCCACCTAGCCTTATTGCTGAACTGCGCAAAACAAATTAACGTAGCTTTCACTCCTGTTTTAACACGAATCTGTAAGCCATAAAATTTAGCTTGTATATTTACGCTAGAAATATAAAAAAAAATGTTACACGCAAAAAAACTGAAGCTTATTCCACGCAAAAAGACATAATATTTGTTTTGTGAGATATTTCAAATGATATCAAGTTTTATTTGTTTTCGTACTTGTGCAACAAATGCAATACAAAGATTATTCTGTGACACCCAATAGTAGTTAGGACTATCAACCCAAGCACGAAGAACGGACTGCGTGCTCTGAAAGATTCCGAGCTGTTAACCAGTGCAGGAGGTGCGAAAGCCGAAGAGTGATATGCTTACTACTCACTACTGTCGTCGGTTGGTCTATTTACTCGGTGGTATATTTATCAACATAAGGCAACTCAATGTATTTCCTCAATGCGCAAAGTATAGCGAATATTTGAGAGCTCAAATATTTGCTATGCAATTTGAAATTTTATAGAAGAAAAAGACATCACAGAGTAAAGAACTTCTTGCATCAATCTGTTATATCTGTCTTCCTGATACTAGACGCAAGCGTGCGGCAGGTTGCTTTTACAGTATTAGTTTATTAAAGTGCGTTTCTCTCAATGTAGGTACTCTCCCTTTCAAACGTTTAGATCGGGGAAGTTTGTTAGCTCGATTAATTTTGAGGTGACACGTTTGATTGCAGGCATAGCTTCAGAAATATCTAGGATTTCGTACAGAAAGCTTTTATAGAAATCACCACAACGATGGAAATTCGCGAAGAATATTGCAGAGTTAACATACATCTTCAGGTTATATTGCACCTAAAATCTGTAAAGTTCTGTCATTGCTCTGAGTATGCTTCTCTAGTTAGTGATTTAGTTTCACGGTGATCCAAAAGGTTTTATTTCAATCGTTCGATAGGCCTGCCATGTTTCAAATACCTTGTGGCCGCCGAGACAATTCCAGCAAGAAAGAGCCCGGAAAATCCTGGATATTGAGTGAGGTGCTTCTTTACGTAGAATGGCAGGAGCTGGAACCAGTTAACCACGGCAACCTTTAGTATGGCACATATAAATGTTTTGGCTTTAAATTACTACTTCAGTTTTTATTTGTTTATTTGCATTGGTTTTACATTGTGCATGTCTATCTAATCCGCGCCTTCTGGTACTGAGGGCAAAGATACGTGCATTAATAAATACTGTCAAGATGAAATCAGCTGATGTTAGGCAAATATGGCTGTTTTTTTTTCCGTGCATTGGGGAAAATCGGCTTATTTTGTATTGTCCTACACTTCAACAATCATAAATGTGAGCAATTTGTGCGGAGAAACAAATGCGACCTAATTTTTATCATAACAAAATTGCCAGCGACATTTTGTTTTAAAGTCCTACAATGCATGAAATGTCGTATTCATGAGCGAGTGTTTCAATTGTTCGGAAGGAATTAAACAGTACACACGACAGTAAAGAACCCATTTTTTAAGAATAAGATTCGCAAAAATGGTGTGTTACGTGACCAGGTACAAATCTAAGTCAAATTTTGAGGTTTTACGTGCTAAAACAATGAAGGATAGCTGGCATGCCCCAGTGAAGAACTGAGAATTTATTTCTACCACATGGAAATCATTTGACGTGCAACCGAAATCTAGATTACAGGGCGCCTTTTCCGCAACAAGCCTTCGTCAGATAGATGGCACTTTGGTGGCAATTCAAATCCACCACCTGGCGATTGGTAGGCCAGCGCTTCGCCTCAAAGCCAGCGAGGCGACTCGCGACCAGGGTGGGAGGATGGAGGAGGAAGCAACAAAATCACACAAAACAGGGCCTTACAGCTGAATGATGTGGCGTCATGCCCAGCTTTGCCGAAAGCCAAAGCTGGGCGCAGATTGTACACGATGCTTGCGCCAACGTTCGGCTTAAACTTGACTCGAAGCCAAGCGCTGACGTTGCGCACGTCTCTAATCTGTGTCCAGCGTTGGCCTTCTCTGATGAAGCCATCCCATTCGGATCTACGGCTTTGTTACCTGGGGGGCATTTCAGGAAGGCACCTGTGAGAGGGGAGAGCACTGCAGGACGGTGAGGAGATGGATTTGTTCAAAGAGTGAGAAGGAAGGGATGAGAAAGAAATGAGGAAACGGGATTCGTGTTTCACTGATCAATAAAAAGGGAGTACAATGGGGATTGAGGAAGATGTTGGGAATTTAAGGTAGGTGTGAAGGGAAGCGAGTTGAAGAAGGAGTGAGGGTTAGGGAGGCATGGGTGGGATCAACAACGCTTAGAAGACAAGGCCGTAGAAATCCTCCGTTGACGTTACAGGCGTCGGCCAACAGACGCTGCGATACAGTATGAAATTGAGAGAATCGCGCGTGGATAACCGTTCTAAGGTCGTGTTTTACGAGACAAATACACGCCCAATTTGATAAAGATCAATCTCTAACAATCATGGGACTCGGAGACACACCGTTTGACGTGCAACCGCAGAAGGCGATCTAGCGCTTCGCGGTAGAACGCAAAAAAATAGGTATATATAAAGTGAGAAAGAAGCTTCGTGTGAAGGACATTTGATAGTCAGAACTTTATTAGATAAATGAAGGCTATAAACAATTATTAAAAGAAAAAACATGCTAAACGGCACACACTAATATTACTGTTTCTCAAAATGCCTCCGGTTTAAAAAAGAGGCTGTAATGTAAGAGTGTAATACGGGCGAAGGGGACAAACAGAAAACGCCTAAAACGCAGCTACTAAATTTTACTGGAAAAATTGTATTATGCAATCTCCTACACACGTCTCTTAGCAAATTTGTATACGCCATCCTGACCATCAGCCAGGGTACAGTACGTCTTGTCCTCCATTTAAATTAACAAACCTCAACTTGTACAAAACAATGTATAACTACCCCCCCCCGCACACACACATATTAACCCCAAGACCGACCCGGCATACGCTAGATGTCTCTCGGCAAATTTGCACTCGCCCCGTGACTATCAGCTATGGTACATCTCGTCTTGACATACATCAAAGCACCGACCCGAACTCGTGAAAGGCAGTGTCCTATCTCCCTCACACATTGACTCAAAGACTGACCCGGCGTACCTCTGGCCATTCGCTCAAAGGATCCTCCTGATGCCTAATAAAACGATATTAAAAATAAGACCATTTTCTTCAAGAGCATCAAAACCTTGGAGGAGGCTTAAGCTTCGTCTTTAAGAGTGTTACGTAATAGCGCCACATACAAGCATATAACAAACTCTATGACGACCTAAAGAACGACATATCGGACGACGTCGAGGATGACATCAAGGGCAGCGTCAAGGATGACGTCAAAAACGACCTTATGAACGACTTCAAGGAAAACGTTTCGAACTACGTCGAGGACGGCGTCTAGGTCGATGCCAAAGCTGACATCCGAGATGACGTCATCTTTGACATCATCCTACTGGACGACATAATGAACGACGTCTAGGATGACCTGTAGGACGACCTGAAGGACAATATCAAGGACGATGTCCTAGAACAGTTTTTCTCAAATGGGGGTCCGTGGGCCAGGGCTGCCAACACGGAAAGTCAAAATTTCCCTAGGGGGCGCCTGAATTTTTCCTATTTCTGCCCAAATTTACCTCGCTTGCCCCAATAATTGTATAATATTAAATATTCATTGCTTTCTAACTTACATCCACTCATACCTAGAGATATATAGCAAATAGCCTTTACGCCACGCGTACGTTTCACAAAAATTGGTTTATTGGGCCAAAACTGTGGCCAAGGCGAATGTGGCGAAGGAAGGTTTCAACTGTCGAATGAATTCCTATCTTCACCATAGATGTTATGCGCATCATCAAAACATTGTAGTGTGATAAAAACTTCATTGGCATTTTTTATTATAGTCAGTCCAAAACAAATCGTGAAGCACAAGGGAGAGTTCCCGGACCCGAACACGCTGAACACGACGCATAGAAAGTACCATTTCGTGCACGGTACTTCACAAACTCGAACTAGCCATGGTAAGATTGTAACTTGGACATGTTAAGTCGGTATCTCCATACACCACTGTATTTATTTTTGTACTCAAGCTTTCTTTTTCGGGAAGGCACATCGGCGCTCTCAGATACTTCGACTTGACTTGTCCTTTCCTCCGTAGGTTTCACGGGGGCGGTGGGGCAATAAAAAACTGATTGGCCGCAAAAATGGTCTTAGTGCTACTTAATCTTGCCAGATGATCGCACAACAAGCCGCCAAACTGCTGAAGGGAAGAACCCAACATAGCCAGAGCCGCTGGCAATGTTATTTAGAGAAATAAGTCATAATTAACCTTCCGAAATTACTGATAAAACGGTGCCAAAAAGTTCCCTGAAACCGGCAGGTTTTCGCTTATTCTACATAGACCTGGATATTAACTCAATCTGGGAAATGTTCCTCGAGTTGGCAGCCCTGCGGCAGACCCAAAAAAGTTTGCGAAGGCATTCTAGGGGTCCGCGAAGACCTGCCTCATCAGTTAGCCATGCAATAAAGGTTGTATTTTTTTTTCTTCAGATTATGAAGAAGCGTTCCAATTTCCGAATGGTTTTTCTCATGTGTACGACGACCGTATAGGTCTGCTTCACACTATTCCCTTAGCTGAATTAGTTTATTAAATCATTATCATAATTAACCTCTACCTTTCCCTTCCCTCACCATGAACGGGGTCCTCCATCATCTCCGCCATCCCAGTGGGTTCGCGCAACATCATTAAATGAGAATCACTGTCCTAGAAGACGACGTCTCTCAAGGACGGCATCGAGGACGACGCTCAGGACTTCAAAACGCGCCAGCCTCGGCTACCGGCGCTCAAGTTCGGTTCACACAGGGGCGTTCAAAATTCTCGCGCGAGGTGATGTGGCTGTGACGTCACATGACTTTGCAACCGAGGCCGCCTTTTCTTGTTGCGCCACCCACGCCGGATGCTCTGCTACACGAGTTACTAGGCCCGCTTCAGACTGGGCAATTTCGCCCACCAACTTGACGTCCCAACTCCAGCAACACGGGCCGCCCGCGTTCACACGCAGTAACCGAATTGGTACGACTTGCCATCATCATCATGAAGTTTGATTTTTCTTACACTATTTAGACGCACAGCTACGCGCTAAAAACGTATTTTTATAGCTTTGAATGGTGTTGAGAATACTAACTCATCTTTCTGAAAAGGTTTATTTCCAAAAACGATTAATTTCAAACCAGAACCAAGGTTATAGCTGTCATCATCACCACCACAGGGGTGTCAGGTGAAAATATCGCGTCCCTGATTGGCTGCAGCCGTTTCAAACGTCTTCGAATTGCTCTGAGTTTCTTGCTCGTTCGAGCCGGACCCGATCTCAGCAATTCGTGTCGATCTAGGGAAAGATAGGGAACAACCCGCCAGCAACCCAGATATTGCTGGAAATGTTGCCCCCTCTGAAGCGGGCCTAAACGCTATCGCGTTAAAAATGACAAAACCAAATGCTTTCGGTTTGCCTCATCATGCGCAATCGAAGGCTGACTGATGGAAACAATCCTGATCGTCCCCTGTGACTAAACTTGCCAAACGCAAAGATCGTTTGTGTTGTGACATGGGGGGAGGGGGAAGCAGAAAGATTGTCGCGAAGATTTCTTTTTTCGCAAACTCGCAGATCCGGTCATCTTCTATAGGAAGTATTCACTGGACGCCATATTTGTGGGTGCTGTTTAGTGCGCATGATCAGAGCAAACTCACGTGAATAGACTGCTAAGCCCAGCACGCTTGATGGTGGGGAAAGCACGTTGCAAAAGAACTGTGGAAGCTCTCCGTCAGCACGCGCTCAGCATTCGTGGACACAGCTATGCCCGCCAGTGAATACTCCCTATACGGTTTTCATTGAAGGGGCGAAAAATTCCTTCCATTCCCTTGTCGCCGAACTAGAGAGGCACGAGAGAGCGCGCGGAGACCACCGTGGTTCATCGTCACCACAAAGATTATCAGCTGCAACCAACATGTTCAATGGACTCTATAAAGCACGGCGGAGGCTTGGAGTAACTTCATTCTAAAGTCAATGCCGTCGAAGTTGAGTCTGATATTGCTGTTATTTCCGCCGATAAAGTAGAATTTATTGAAAACGTACCTGCCGTTCTTTTCATTTCTCATGAAGCCCGACTTGGCTAAATCAGAACCAGCCGAATAGCGTTGTTCTCTTTTGGGCGGATTTTCACTTCGGGCAGTTGTCCCCCCCTCGACGGAATAAGATAGTTTTATGTAGGCTTTTTATGATTAGCTAATCTGAGATTGTTAGACCTTTCCGGAAGTATGTGGTGCCCCCAGTTTCGTCTTTATACATTTTAACGTTCATATGTCGGCACGCGAAATTATCCAAGCGAATAAGAAATTGACGTTGGTTTAACGTTTAGTAATTTCAAGACGCAGAGAAGGTGGATGGAAACAAAACAGGGTTTGTGGTCACCTTTTCCATTCGCTTCATTTTTGCCTATGGTCTGAGCTCTTAACGATGAGAAAGAATGAATCGTGCCGGCTACCAGGATATACGAAGTGTTCGGGCCGGCACGAGCGTACTATCGGGGAAAAATGAAATGCGAACAGAGGAGCGCGTGGCTCGCGGTACAGGCTGCGCCGCCTGGAAGTGAACCTAGGGGCGAGGGTGCGTGGCCTACTTCGATGTGTTCACGCCCCTAGATTGGCGCTCCCCCAGCTTCGGCAGTGCGCCTCTCAGTGCGCTGAAAGCTGTCACCGCTATCTTTGCCTGCTCGGCGAGTGCGGCAAGCTTCTTTGCACCGCACGCGCTGAGCCAGCAAAGATAGCAGTGATAGCTCTCAGCGCACTAAGAGGCGCACTGCTGAAGCTTGGGGAGCACGGAGGGAGGGGCGTGAACGCGTCGGAGTAGGCCACGTACCCTCGCTGCTAGGCTCACTTCCAGGCGGCGCAGCCTGTACCGCGAGCCACGCGCTCCTCTGTTCGCATTTCATTTTTCCCCCATAGTACATCCCAACAGCCCCACAATTTCCAGCGTAGCAAAGGTTCCTGTTTTTTTTTTGTTTTTTTTTTTCGGAAAGGTCGATTCCGCTATGATCAACAAAAATAATAGCAATGTCAAATTGTCAATATTGACGATGCTGTTTTAAGAACGCGATAACTCCAAGCTTCCATAGTACAAAATCAAACTTTTCAACGTCCATTCGAACACGCACCACTGAATTTGTCGTTCAATACTGATAATCCTGACTCTGATTCAAAGGTAGGATCTATAATATTATTTACGTTACTGAATGCGCCTGCACACTACGAACTCTGGCATAAGCCTCTCCTTTGAAAGTATGTCACGGCCGTTTGTGTGAAAATGGAACGCGAACGAGCTTAATTCCGGAGCCTCTAGATTAATTCTTTCGAAAATTGCAAGCTGTGCTGGTCTTCGTTGTAGCTGAGTAGTGAACGTCTCTGCAGGGTCGCAGAAATAGGAGAATGGGGAAGTTGGTGATAAATCCCCCCCTCCAGTGGTGTCGAACGAGAGAGCAATGTGTACAAGGAGCTAAAGGCGGGAGCCGATCGCCCCAGACGGATACCATAGCCTTTTATACGTATAGTTCCCAGACATTTCAAAAAGGTTTAATACGAAATTTGCGAAAGGGAATTCCCCCTTTTTTTACTACCACCACCCTCCCACATCTTTATTTTTCTCTTTCCCGAACAATTTCTGTGACACTTCGTTTCTCAGTCTGTGTTGGTCGCACCTAGCCATCACCATCACAACCAACGTCACTACATACACCGCCTCTGAAAGACCATGGTAGCGCGCACGACATTGTAGGACAGTATAGGAAGATGAGCTCTAAAGCCGCGTACACCGCGCACGGCTCCACGATATCGCAAAGTTCAATCTTCGCCAAGTTTCCGAAGCGAAGATTTTTGCCACAAATAACCCTTTACAAAGTTGTGAAACGTCACATTGTCGTCACCAATCACTTGTAGAAACAACGATCTTCCGACGAGGAAGTCCAGAGTATTTACAGGCGGCCTAGGGACGGTCTAAGCAGCATTGGTTCTAATACGGCATAATAATGTAGGGATGAGTGGACACGACGTCATCTGTGCAGCCGTTCAATCGGCTGGCCCCACGGTGTTGCTCGCACACGCTCCGATGAAGCTCGCTAGAACGTTGCATTTCGCAAGCTCGCTAGAATTTGAGCAGAATTTGAGCACCGAGAGAGTTTGGATGATTGCCATATCGTCCCGCGTGACGCCATTGTCGCGTGAGTCCAATCAGCGCGCATAGCGAACTTCAACCCCAACTTTGTGTTTGGCGAGTTTAGCGACCCCCACGACTCTTTTAGCGCAGTCGCCTTCTCAGCATAACACAACAGTGCAACCCCAGTGAAGCAAACATTTATAGCATTCTTGCACATATTTAGCGATCTCAGATATCGGGGACTTGTTCTTAATAGCGCTCAAGCAATAAAGGAGCTTATCATTTAAGCACTGCTTCTGCTGCCCCACGTACATAAAGCCATAGGCCATGGGAGGAACTGACAGTACAACAGCGACTTCTCTGTGCCGTTTTTGACAATCATGTCTCCCAGCGCTCGAGCTTTGTATTCTAGGCGGTTTTGGAGAGGAGCAATAAAGAGTGAACAGGATGGGGAAAGAGTGGGGAGAGGGATTTGTTAAGTCGCGTGACGTGTATTTTCCGCTCAATTTCGTGAAGAAGCTACATTGGTACGAGGCAGTCAAAAAGTAACCACAATTTTTTTTTCTTGTTAGTATAGATATCATAAAAAGCCTTTTTTTTCAACATAGTCACTTCCTCTCTTGATACATGTGCGCCAACGCTTCACCAATGCATAGATTGTTCCGGGGAATAAAAATCTTGTGGCTAACTTCATAGTTAGGAATGCATTACCGCTTTAAGGTAATCTATATCAAGCTTCTTTCCCCAGGGAGTCTCTTTAAGAGGTCCCGATAGGTAAAAATCACTCGGTGCGAGGTCTGGTCAGTATGGTGGCTGCGGAATGCATTAGAGCCGCAGTCATTTAATTTTTTCCCACTGTCGTACGTGTTGTATGAGGGAGCGCATTGTCCTGATGCAGCAACACCCTTGAGATGAAAAATCCGCGACGGTTTAACCCGATTGCAGGCTTCAAATGAATGTCAATAAGGTTGCAGTATAATGCACTGTTCGCGGTGAGTCCTTTGGGGATGTAATGTTCAACTATTGGGCCTTTATGGCCCCAAAAGACCATGAGCGTTAGCCCACGCACCGTTGGCGTTGTATGAACTTCTTCGGCCTTGGTGACATTGTGTGTCGCCACTCCTTGCTTGCTTGCTTTGTCTCTGTCTGGTCGTAGTGAAACCAGTATTCATGACAGGGGACGCTGGGAAGAAAATTATCGCCCTCGGCTCCGTAGTGTCCCAGTAGTGTCTCACAAGCATCGACACGGCGCTCCTTAAGTTACGGCATAGGTTGTTTTGGTACCCATCTGGCGCATACTTGGTTGTACTGCAGAATATGATGAATAATATGGTACGTAGCGCCTGAACTAACATTCAACTCTTCAGCCACTTTATCGATGGTGACACGACGGTTCCCGTGTATGACCCGTTTTACAGCAGAGATTGTGTCCGGCATTTTTGAAGAGTGAGCCCGGTGGGGGCGAGGTGCGTCCGTCTATTTGGACGATCCACTTTGAAACCTTTTGTGTCACTCGTACACCTGCCGAAGCGATGCCCACGCGTCTGCGTACTGCTTTAGCATCCTTCGATAAATGTCAGCAAGTTTTTCGCCCTCTGCCCCGAAAAATCAAATAACCGAACGCCGCTCCTCCTTGATGCATGCTAACAAGGGGGCGGCTATTTCGAAAGTGCTGTAGTCGTGTGACATTTCCCACCAAGCCGCCAGGCCACCGTGCAGAGCTCCCCCTTCTGGTCGGTCAAACCATATTTCCAGCGCAGCAATCTATCACTAGATTTCATTTTCTGACGGCTAAACTGCGGTTACTATTTGACTCTCCCTCGTATAAAGGTCAAATTACGTCAAATTCCCCGCTAAATTTAGTTAAAACTGAATTGACGTTTAAATCACGACTAAATGTTCACGCTAAATTTAGCTGGGTAATTCAATTGACGTACAGGTCAAGTGACGTTAATTTTACCACTTGCTGTATAGGTCACGTAAAGTAAATTTTCTCGCTAGAGTTAGTGAGAACTGGGAGTTTGGGATTCAGGGGTTCTGTTAAAAAGCAATATTTTTTTTTTAAAGGACACCGTTATTTGTTCGAGAGGGAACGGAGCGTCAAAAGCAAAGCGTTCCCAAGCCAACATTTTTATTTTACTGTACTAAAACGTAACATTGTTAGGAAAACAAGGTTAATCTAGAATTCAACACCTGGAGAGTGTTCATTTATTTGGTAATTATTACCTACCTGGTCGAGTTGCTTGATGTCCCCTAGTAATAGCGGGTCACAGTCTCTGAACCAGTAGATGAGGAAAATTCCCAACGCCGTTAGCACTAAATTGAATAGTGCCCACAGTGCCGTTCCAACTCGAGCACTTCTGCATAAACCAATGGAAACATATCGAGTGAGGCTGCGCTTTCCCTAGTTCTATAGTGAGTGGGGATCTGGCCATTTTATGATGTTGCATCTTTCACCAATCTTCTTTCCTTTATGGTGCACATGTCACCTTTCCAGTACATTTTATTTTAAAACTCTTACAATGCTCATATTCCACTGACGGCCGTGTAGTGAAAATATCTATAGAACTTTGCCCCTAACAACAAACAGCCGGAAAACGATACATTAACTGAATTTCTAAAAAAAAATGGCATGACTGTGCTTTTTTCTTGCAATTTTTCTGAACCAACGATAAGAGAGGATATTCCGTGACCGCCTTTTCTTTCAGATTTGCGCCGGCAAAAACATACAGGCGCATAATGTTCATTGCAATTCAGCGCATTTGTCAATAAGACGAGCGTTACTCCTCCTTCCTTGAAGGAAATAAACTAAATATTTTGTGTTACAGAAAAAAAAAAAACACCAAAAAGGGCCGTAGCGCGCAATTCTGCTGTGAAGGCCTAAGCTTAAACTTAAAGCAAGTATCCACCGCGCCAAAGTAATATTTATAGAAGCTAATGAACTATAAAAGGTGTACTATTAACAGGTTAGCGTTTATTTGTTTGATGGTGCGCCGTTATCATTGGCTTGAAAATGTCCAACGTAGTGCGCATTTGGCCACTGTGAATGTTAGAAATTGCCCAGTAATTGCACTTCTACTGCAATAAAAACCCACAAGACCTCTGCTGGAATTCCTTTAGCTGCACATTAGCAGAAAAATTTGAATATTTGGAACGTAATAAACTAGATATCAACTACCCTATAGCCTTCAACCACGCGTGCACTCTAAAAAAAAGGGAGTAGTACTTCCTCCCTTCAAGAAGGAACTTGCGTGTATCATATATTGCTCTACAATGGGAGGAAATTTCCTCCTAGAAAACGGGACGAAATTTCCTCCCCTAGGAAGGGAGGAAAGTTGCCACCTATTTTTGCTCGTGGACAAAACCTTCCTCCCCTAAGAGGGGAGGAAAATTGCCACCTTTTTTCGCCCAATGGAGGAAACTTTCTCCCCTCATGTAATTCGTATAGCTTCCACCAGATGGCGCTCTAAACAGAAAAAAAAAATGTTGGCGAAGTGCCAATTTGTTTTCCAATGTCCCCCACCCTCGACCGCTACATGGTAAATACACAGACAACAGTGAACACACAGGATACACGAAACACAAGTAAGCACCCTACAACAGCAACAACGTATGATTGAATAGTTGACCTTGTCTCCCGGATACGTTTCTTCATTCTTTCGCCGAATCGTCATTTCAGTGTCATTTCTTGTGCGGGGCTCAGGTTTTTGAAAAAAGAAATAAAATAAATAAATCGCGTGTTCCCCCAAGCCGGTCATGATCCCGACGTTGAAGGACTACAGCGTGTGTCGGACGAAGTCGCTCGCCACAACGCAGTGCTCGGTCCTATCGACTGGATATGCCGTTCTGTTTTACACAGAACTGAAATAAACGCGGCACGGATTACCTCTCGCTGTATGGTACGTACGCTTTATTTCAAGAGTATGTGTTTCTGGCGGAGGTGACGGGGCTAGAAAAGTATAGACGTGTCGACTCCAATAGAGCTGTGGTCTTACCAACTACGCGATCAAGCGAAAAAAGGATTCCACGCTTACGACGATTATTTCTTCTGCGCCCTACTTGTTACTGAAGTTAAAGCAAATGGGCAACCTGCAATGCTGTTTGGCTTGGCGGCATCTAGCGACTGAAGCAAGAAATATTGGGTACCCCTGGGAGTGAGGCTGCATTGTTGAAACGTGAGCTTTTACTCTGGTGGCGCCGCGGCGCTTAGCCTAGTGTCTGAAGCAAGAAATACTGGGTATCCCAGGAAGCCGTGACCGCGTAACGTGCCAGTAGTGCGGAAGCTACGGCCCTGGCGGGCCAATCGGAACGTGACTGCCTATCACCGGAGCGCGCCTCAACTCCGGAGAGGTATCAGGCTTTTCGCTGCGTCATGCTGCAATATGTGTGCGTTGCGCTCGTACACGTCACGCATTTCGAAGCCTTCGGCACGGAATGTGATGCTTATCGTTCACCCTTTGCCAAGTTAACATGAGACAGGGTATAACCGTGCGCTCTCACTCTGCTGGCGCCGCCTGGCTGATGCAGGTTGGCTCTAGGCAGGCGAGCTGGTTAAGGATAGATAGTTTCGAGTCTGTCTGCCCTTTTTTTGTTCCCTCGCTCCAGGTTCACTATGTCTACTTGTCATGTAGCAAGAAACGCGACGAAAGCTGTCGTACTTGCTATGCCAGTGATAAGTCGCCACCTGTACGTATCGCAGCTGCAAGGTTTCATCCACAATGAATAAGCCCGATCTCGAAGCGGGCATGCGGCGTGATTCTTGCGAGACGCACATCGCGCTACGCGCCTCGCTTTTTTTTTTTTTTTTTTCTTAAAGTAGTAAATTTCCGCTAGCCCCCGCAGCTCCACTTTTTCTCTCCTAGCACCACGCATGGGCAGTAGTGGGATTGCTCAAGGTGACGGTACCCAATCCCTCAAGTTGCCGTCACCGCCATTGAACATGTTCGCGGCGGCAGCGGCGGTTCGACCGCCGCTGCCGCCGCGAACATGGGGCAGGAATTTTCGTCCCTTTTTCAAGCGCCACCAAGTGGCGCTGCATCTAAACCGGTGAAATGGAGGAACGGGTGCGATTTCCTCCCTTCCGTAGGCGACAGGGAGGAACATTGCTTTTTCCTCCATTTCTCCTCCCTTTTTTTTAGAGTGTGTTTGACGAACATTTTCTATTTATTTAAATGTTTATATATATATATATATGTGTGTGTGTGTGGTTTTCTGTGCCATGAAACGTCCTCAAGTTCCTATTAATTTACTATTTTTATAAAAGATTTTTTGATCACTAATATAAATTACATCGACATTGTTATGAAAAATGAATATCAATTTTTGAAAGCGGCTCTAGAATATTTTTTTTTACCCGGTATTGTGTTTGGTAATTGTCAAATAGACATAACGTTTCTCTGGGTTTAGTATATTTCTGATGACTGCTAAATTATCTAGACATTGATTACGAGGCGAATACCTCTGACTTATATAACAAAGTCAACAATTTATGAGCAGACGTTTCGTCTCCTATGCGGGAGACATCACCAGTGCTAATGAGCTACAAGGGGTGTACTATTAACAGGTTACCGTTTATTTTTTTGATGGTGCGCCGCTATCATTGGCTTGAAAATGTCTAACGTAGTGCGCATTTGGCCACTGTGAATGTTAGAAATTTCTCAGTAACTGCACTTCTACTAAAATAAAAACCCGCAAGACCTCTGCTGGAATTCTTTTAGCTGCATATTAGCGGCAAGATTTGAATACTTGGAACGTAATAAACTAGATATAAACTACCCTATAGCCTTCAACCACGCGTGATTGACGAACACTTTCTATTTATTTAAATGTTTATGTATATATATATATATATATATATATATATATATATATATATATATATATATATACATGGTTTTCTGTGCTATGAAACGTTCTCAAGTTCCTGGTAGTTTACTGTTTTTATAAAAGATTTTTGATCACTGATATAAATTACATTGACATTGTTATGAAAAATGTACGCCAAATTTCGAAAGGGGCTCTAAAAATATTTTTTTTTTTTACCCCGTATCGGGCTTGCTAATTCTTAAATAGTCATAACGCTTCCTTGGGTTTAGTATAATTTTGATGACTGCTAAATTATCTAGACCTTGATTACGAGGCGAATACCTCCGACTTATATAGCAAAGTCAACAATTTATGAGCAGACGTTTTGTCTCCTATGCGGGAGAAATCACCAGTGCAGCGTCGGAAGGACCCGGCTAGCTACCAGCGACCAAACGCCCTCTCTTTGTCCTTTCTCTTCATCCGTAGTGTTGGTTCATCCATAGTTTGTTCAGTTTTCGCATGGACATTGATTGGCAATAAAATAATTATATATCTATAAAAGCCTACCAAACCATTTTTTATGTTAAGAAAATTGTAGTTCGCTCTGCAGCTTAGGTTCACAGTGATACAGAAGCGTTTTATTGTAGTCATCTGTGAGGCATCGTAATGCTGCATAGAAACTAGCGTTACTAAAAGATGCAAGCACAAGTTACAGAGCGAAATGACCGACCTTCCTATCGCTCGTGCATATCAACGCGTATCAGTTTCAGCCTTAAAAAAAAAAAAAGTGCGTTGATGTTCTTATTAATTTTTGCCCTGGTGAAAGCTGGCAGTCTGACGCCCCTTGGTAACGATTTTTTTTCTTCAGCCTTTCTTCTACAAAACAGAACCATGTGTTTTCTACTGACGGAATAAATTTTTAATGTTCGTGCACACAACTAGACAGAAATTAATACCTTTTTGCTTCTTCGAGTGTCCTGGCTGCCAGATATCTCTGAACAACCATTTGATCCATACCAAATCGGTAGAGATGAATCGGCAGTATTCCTAATAAACATGACCAGATGTTCTCATCCTTCGTGAAGTCCAATGCAGTGCTGGGGAGAACGCAAAATACCAGAATTAGCCAAAACATACTTACAGCTATAAGCAAAGAACAAGAAATCACGTCTTTAGCAACTCTCATTGTATACCTCACTATTATTTCTTTTTCACAAAGTTGGGATTCGTTAATAGTAATCCGCAGCCATCTCGGTGACATATTATTCTACTTTGTTAAATATTCATGCATGAGCATTAACACCCGTCCTTTGTTAGGAATTTGGGAATACAGCCGGCTCTTCAAAATATCCCTTTCGGCAATTGGGTTAATTATTAAAGTAGAATTCGAACAAAGTACGATATATTTCGGAAATGTTTACCTCTTGGAAATTGCTTTGTTTTTGATAATTTCTGATACAAGGTTGGCACTTTATCATCTAAAAGCTTTAATGTACGTGAGCAGTCGTTATTCAGCTCCGCACTCATTTTGTACAAAAGTTTATGAGAACAGGTGGCAGAAAAAATAAAACCCAGTACCTCTGGATTCCAGAGAACGAATCGGCACTCGACGTAATTCGAAATGATGAGTAATAAAATTCTCCAAACCTTTCCTTTCATACACGTGGTCCTACGCATCATTCGTTTCGTGTGATATTTATCGCGAAACGATGATCGTAGGTCCTATATTATGGTCCTATTTTATTGGGCAATGTTAATAAAGTAGACATAGCTTTTTTTGTATATGAATCGCTAAGATGAGAACTGAACATACATTCCACAAGAATATTAATAGAAATAACTGAGAAGATGCAATCGAGCAGGTGAACTTGGAACATCTTGAACACCCAAGCCCAGGAACAGAAAGTGGACAACAAACACATCCCGCTTTTAGTGAGTGTCTTCTCCAGTTTTTGTTCCTAGTCTTAGCTAGGTGTTCAAGATGTTGAAGATTAAATCGGGCGTTACAAACTAAAGGTGTGAGAATATGGAAATTTCAGCCCTGATTAGATTCGAAGGGTATGGTACCAAATAGTGTCGAAAACGTTGAATGTCGAGTAAATATCTAATTCCACACTGTTTGCTCGTAAAACAAAAAATAATAAAAAAAACGTTCACATGCTTTTTTTTTGCAAGAGGTTTTAACGAAGGGCGGCTAAGATGAATAAAAAGGTTGCTGGCGACGAAGCTGAAAAATGTGCTCACATCACACAGACACGCGTAAACACCGTAGGCACACAGGCTTCAAAGTGTGCTGCCTGGATGTACAGATAGGGCTGAACCGTTTAAATCCAGACGTGCAATAACTTTCGTTGTTAAGGTCCCTCATTTCGCGCATTATTCTGTGTCGCTTATAAAATGACGAACAGAAAGCGAGATGTTCCTGACGGTGCTTTTATTTTTAGTTATTACAAAAACAAAGTAGATTGAATTTTGATGTACCCCTCAACTCTAAGTGAATTTTCTGAGTCACGAGCGCTCTGATGTAATCTAAATAATTATTGAAGAGCTTCTAGTCCGCCCCCCCCCATTGTTAAATACTTCTCCTCTGATTACCCCCCCCTCCCCCATCGCAACTGCATGTGTATATTCTTGCCGAAGGTTCGTAGGTTTATGTTTTATGTACTACTACCACCATTGCACCAATGAAAAGCAACACATATACCCTCCGACAGAATAAAATATGGTATACAGCAGCTGTATCCCACGCGCATGACGAGAGTGCGACACAGGAGGTAACAAAACGGATGCAGTGAGTACCGCACTTTGTACGTGTAGATTCGCCCATGTGTGTGCTTCGATGTCAATCTCGCTCAAGCAAAACTCTAAAAGAATTTCGGACTTAATTATAACACGGAAGTTGCATAGTTCAAAGTGGTTTTGAAGACGTGAAATAGTTACTTGAAATATTTGCCCGCCTGGAAATTGTTAGCTTTCAAGGTGCCGGAATTCAAGGGTTAGCGTAAATAAAGTGTTCAACAATATATGCAATACGTTTAAAATGACCGGATTTTATGAGGGTGACTCACCGTTTGGCTCTAACTTGGCATGCAAAAATGACGGGTTATGTTTTATCTCGAATGGTTAACAACCTATTTTAACGTCGAAAATGTTTCATGAGCTCTACCTTAGTCGACATTTAGAAAAAAGCAACGTCTCCTTCACAAATATTAAGTTAAAAAGAACTTTTTTTTATTCTCAATATTTTTAGTAATCCTAAATGTGTGAGCTCAGCTCATATAACCTAGGCCAAAGCATCGCCGAAAAAAAAAATTTCACCGGTCTTTTCCCAGGGCTGAACATATTAGTAGGCTCATTTCATTCATTCCAAGCGCACACAAAATCTCAGTGATAATTGATTTATACACGAAATATGTTTATAGAAGGAAGTTCTGTCTTGAATAATTTAAAATCAATAATGGCGAATCGGGTTGGCCGATAAATGACGCTATTTGGCCGGTGTTGAATAGTAAGCAGAGCTGTGAACTATGTTTATGCTTTGAATCAGGTTATATGCAACTACGACATAACTTCTTAAAAAGGAGCTCGAGTTCTTTGTTTGTTCTTTTTTCTGTAGAAGCTTGTTTTTAATGGGCATACCGTTTGTTCGGCTTTAGTCAAGAAAGATGTCCAGTTCTAGATGGCAAGACGTCCTCGTAAACAAGCAGCAATAGAAATCCACAGGCACTCTTTTCTCTTAAAGGCTCGTACTCGGGCCCTCACCACTCTCATTATATTTGACCAATGAAGATAGTTAATCCCGGGGAGATTCCGAACTTTACTATTATTGCTATATTTAGGCGCCTTGTACAATATAGTTTAAGAACCGCGGCGCAACTTTGGGTGTAGGATACGCAATACAACAATTATTGTTTAAAAACTTTGTCTGACGGCGCCCCCTTGTATCTGCGTCAAGCCGCAGAAAAAAAGCAGTATTACAATGTTTAATTGAATTTTTAATATTGAAGTTGGCCCCCCATGAGCGCAATTCCAGATTTGAAGGATTTCTAGAAAGCGCAGACTGAGTTATTACCAAAAATGAACGATCTAAGAATCCCCATGGGTGACCGCTTAGGAGTAGTCAAGTTCCTTCAGAGAAGGTTCGGAGTTTTTCTGACATTTAAGAGAAATCTTGCCCAATTCTTGGTAAAACGTTTTCTTCTTTTTTATCTTCAGCTATGATATTGCTAAAAGAATTTGAGTAAATTATTAAGAAAAATAGTTATGTTACATATTACTTCAGTTTTATAAGAGATGGTGCAATGTTTCACATTTTGTTTATATAATTTCAATAAGTGCAAAGCTACACTTTAAATATGTATTAGTCAATGTCTCAAACGTCTTACTAATATAGAGGATTCGGAGCATAAGTAATGCAATCATACTCAGCAACGAAGTATCCAACATCAAAGTCGCTGAGAGGGCGAAGTTTAAAAATTCCACTTTGGGAATCATAGATTGCTTTCACGATGATCGCAGTTGGCGCAAATATAGTAATGATGGCTTGAATACTGTCCGTCCAAACAACTCCTCTCAGTCCTCCCTAGAAAACAAAAATTGTCTTTATGTCACATCAGTATACTGTATAACCCTTAGTTTTCGCAAATTCAGCGCCTTGGAAAATTCTCCAAATTTAGAGAGCGCGATTATTAATTCATTGTCTTGCGAGGCGAATTCCAGTCTATAAAATTTACAAAGCTTAATGGCCGCGTTGCCCGATGTTCAAACAATAAAATTAAGGCAGCAAGAATAAAGGATATTATAGTAGATTGTTCTCAAACGAAAGGAGTAAATAACTGATATCCCACATGCAAAGATTAAGTCAAGGGGAGTACGCTTAGTGGGTTGCGAGTGCTTAGTTAGGATGTTTGTGTTGGTTTCCTCTATGTGCTTTCTTTCCTTTATTCGCAAGCTTTAAGGAATTATACAAAACGATTCTCAACCAGTTGCAATTTTTTAAAAGCAGTTTAAATAAATTAGATTGAAACCAGTTGCAAAAATTCAATTGAAATTCAATTGCGATTTTTTATTGAAACTAAATAGCAAAAGTTATATTGAAACGCTATTGCCAAAATTCAATTGAAATGCAATTGCTAAAAATTCAATTAAGACTCAGTGGCCAATACCCTGGTAGGGTTCAATGGGGACTCAATAGAAAAAGTCAATTGAGCTTCAATTGAGACTGAATGCAGTCTATTGAGTGAGTCCTTTACACTTTAAATTGAAGCTCAATTCAATTTTTTGTAAGGTTCATTTGCCAATAAAAATGGCGACAAAGGAATCACAAAAAAAAAAAAAACATGAACATAAAATTCCTGCCGCGCATTTTGTAGACTGTCAATAACTTGAATGGAAATTTCTAAGGATGGATTTGCTACCTCCGGGATATTGAGCAAATATTTCCCTGAGGTCAACATGGAAGGCGCAACCAACGTTACTTGATCAACTCAGTTGGCAGACTCTCACGGAGAGCGTGATCCCTTCTAAGACACGCGCTGACACACATCAGTTTCCGCTGATAACCCCTAGATTCGGAAATGCTGTTTGAAGCGTCAGCCTTCCAGCGTCATCCTTCCTTCCAGCTAGCGCGGCGGCCGTGTTTTGAACTGTTGTTCCAAGATGCGCCGCATCGAGAAAGAAGGTCGGCGCTTCAGGTTTCAGGGTTTTTTTTTTTCAGGTTTCAGGTTTTATTGTGCGTTGATCAAAGGTAAATACATTAGAAATATTACAGAAGGAGGTCCCAGAGTCAGAGACTGGAAAGGGACCTCCTGTTAATGGTAGCAATAATAATAAAACAAATTTACAGCAGTCAGAATAGAAAATAAATTATGACATGAATAAGTGAAACACAGAACTAATTGCAGTGATATAAAATGAACAGAATAACAGTAAGTTAAACACTCATAATAATTATAAACTTATAAATAAAATAACACTGAATAAACAGAGCAAGGTTATAACAGTTGGAATTGCAAATAAATTTTGAGAATAAGTGAAATGCAGTACTAATTACAATAATATGAGACAAAACGGCAATTATCAAAAAGAGAGATACACAATGACGTCACGAACAGCGTTAGCCTGGCTGAGGGTTAC